ATCAAACATGGCTGTTAAAAAAAAAACTAAGATGTTTCCTCCACTGAACCAAATCATAATAAGTTTTATCAAATGATACAATGTCACGGCCATTATAAATTAAAATTTTCTTAATTTCAAAAAAATTTAAATTCTAAATTGGAACTCTAAAGTAATTTTTAATATTGCAATGTCTTGGCGAAAAATGGTCTACAATTATGTTGATCCACGAATTTTAATCTAATGACATTTTTAACTTTAATCCATTCATTTTCTAAGTACAAAACATGACTCTACCAAAAAAGAAAACTCATCACACTGTCAATGAACAGTAAACATTGAATATCTTTACTACTTTAGACAGATTTATGATCAAATTACTAACAGTATTTACACAATATATTAACCATCTATGAGATTTGTGTTATCACAATTTAGTAACTGCACACCTTAATATTATGTTTTATATTTATTATAATTATCATTTCAGAATTTAAAATACACTTTGGTTTTCGTCACTTTTTTAACTATGGAGTATTCTTTATCTCAGAAAATGCGATAATACAGAAAACTGAAATTTTTATTTTACTCATTCTGCTGAAATTCATTTTTAAAATATATATAACATCGTTGCCGAGTGGAAGAATAAAAACAGGACTTAGACAAGGAAAGAGGGCACAAAATTTATTTATTAATTATTAGACAGAGAACGGTTATCAAAGTGGACACGGAATCGTTGTGCTCCTCAATAAAAGTTAGGGAAAATCTTGTAAAGTAAATCCGTAAAATGTTTCATTTTAGGGAATAAGGGAAAAATAAGTAATTGTTATTGGTCTGTTAAAAGGGTCCAGGGAAAAAGTCTTTTCCAGGAATTAGTTAGAGGGATAATCGCCAGAATGATAATTAATGCATACTTGAACCAAAAATAGATTAATGGACAGGATGTGAATTTAAAAGTGTGAGAAAGCATTTCGCTTTGAATAATAAATTAAGAAAAGGAATAGCATAAAAAGATTAATTGAAGCTTTTTATGTTAATATATATATATATATATATAGGCAGGGAATTAATTTTAGAATTTTGATTAATCATAAGATTGATTTTTTAAAATTCTGCCCACAATAAAAGAAAACTTTTTTTTCGTAAAAAAAAATTACAGATAAAAAATAATTTTTCTAACTTGAACTTTCAGAGGAAGAGAGATAGTTTAATTTAAACATCATTGAATAGTTATTTATGTATTACTTATTATTTTATTTATATATTACTTATTATTATAGTTACTTTTTTAATCAGAAGTCTGATTCTGAATAACTGTTTCATAGCTCTTTCCAGATAATTGTTTTATCTCTACATATTAATAATCTCTACATATCAAATTTGATTTTAAAGTTTTAACACATATATTTTTCCCAGACAAACCCTGCTCCATGATTTACTTATGATACCCGTGTTTTTAATTTTAAAAAAATTCAGATTTTTCAGTAGAAAGTTGAATAAAGCCTTACGTAATTGGTAATCACAAACAAGCGCATTGATTTGGCATCCCATTTGTTGCATTGAAATCTAATGAAAAATAACTTCTCAATGATATATATTGTGGCAAACACCTTAAATAGAAATAATTGTCAACCCGGCCCATTATTAAATATAATGTAACCCTAAATAGTAGAACAACAGAATATGTTTTAAGAGTGGAGGTGAAAGTTGAATTGGAAGATAAATATTTGCTTTTCTTATAGAATGTGTTGTTTGCAAAAAGAGCAAAATGCCCAGTACTCATTAAAATCTTGAATAATTATAAGGACACTTTAATTTCAATAATATTATCCCATTTATTAGCCCACCTCACCAAGTCAACTTGAATAGGCTGCAATCAAAAATGCTTAATCCTGAAAAAAAGCACTTAGTTAAATTTTTTTAATTTAACAATGATACAAAAATAAAAAAATATCGAAGGAAAAAAGATATTTTTACAATTAGATTCATTGAAATAAAATCTATAAAATTAAAGAGGCAGAAAAACAGACATTTGAATTTACAAAATTATTGATTTCATAATCTTAGAAAAAAAAGCATAAAAGTAAAACTTTAGAAATACATTAAAAACTTAACCAATTACTGTATTTATATTTTTCAGAAAAGCCTTAAAATATTGGAAAATTGAAGTTTGACTAGCACAAGTTGATATTAAAAAATAAACTTTGTTTGAAAGTTTATAAAGTTTTGAAAGTTCAATATTACTTAGAATGGCAAAGATAAATTTGAATACATTGATTCGGTCCTTGATGCTCAAATCACAGTTTAGGCATGTTGTTTGCTAACCAATTTAAATCTCCATGAATTTTTGAACATACTCTTACAAAATTATAACAGAACTTGAACAAAAACTGGATTAAAATTGTTCATCAATAGTCAGGTCCCACTTTGTATGATAAAATAAACAGAATGAATATCCTTACGTTATATGGTTTATCTGATTGAATAAGTAAAGCATTCAAGCTACTCTTTTGATTACTTGACAATCTGAAAACTTGATTTTTGATTTAAAAATTAATAGAAGGAAAAGGTAAACATCTTTCAAGTGCTCAAAATACACACCCATTCACAAGACTAGTCAGAAGTAAAGAAGAAAAACACAAGAGCAAGTTTAAAACAGAAAATGTAAAGCTGACAACGAAAAAAAATGGAAAAGGAATAAAGGTTCAAAAATAGAACTAGAAAAACAAATCAGAACATATCACATTCTTTTCTAGTTTTATTTTTATCTATATTTACTGTCCATTTCTTTTTATTGGCCATTTTACATTTTTTGCTTTGAATCTCATTTGTTTTTCTTGTTCACGACTAGAGATCTTGAGAATGGGCTTATATTTCTGAGTGCTCAAAACAAGTACTAAAAGAAAACACAAATATTTTTAATTCAAAATAGAAGAAACTTCATTGGAAAAAAACGCGCTAAAAAGCAGCAGAAATTTCAGAAAAAAGTAACAATAAAGAAAACGAAGGAAATAAAAATATGACCACCGAAGCCAACGTCTTCAGGGGGTACCGGCCTCGGTAGCCATAAAAACAAAACCATTTCTAATTGAGGGAGAAGCAAATGCTTAAATTAACTCCCTCAGTACCCCGATGGTTTTGTATAGAAGTCCAGGAAAAAAACATGCAATATAAATAACAAATTAAGAAAAGAAACTAAAACAAAATCATCAGAAAAATAAAACTCACATATATTCACAGGTCAAACATCGATTTCACAAGCAAGCAGAATGGAAAGAAAAAGCTAAAAACTAAAGAAAACAATGCCCTCTATTACAATGCGCAGAAGAAGAATAAAATGTAAGAAGTCAAGAAAAAGAAATACGTAACAAGTTAATAGATTAATAGAATACTTAATTGGGGCTGCTCAGTTAAGACTTGAATTGCGCCCTGTTAAAAGAAAAAAATATAAAAACCTAGAATTCTTCAATTATTTTTTTAATTAAGAAATTAACATTACAAAAATTAAAAGGAAAATCATTATTACTCAAATTATTTAAAAAATTATTCACAGCTTCCCAAAAACTTTCAACATTATTGCAAATATTTACGAGGTGATTTTTACGAGGACATTGATTCAAACCAATTGCGAAAAAACTAACTTTTTAAATATTTTATTAAAATGCGCAAATTAGTATTAAAGTTGCAGAAAAAAATAACTTTAAATTTAAAAGCATTTTTTTTTATCAAAGACACCAATTTTAATAAAACTTAACAATATCAATCTTATAAATTTAAAGTTATTTTTTTCTGCAACGTTAATACTAATTTGTGTAATAAAATATTTAAAAATTTAGTTTTTTAGCAATTGGTTAGAATCAAAAATGTTTGCAATAATGTTGAAAGTTTTCGGGAAGCTGTGAATAATTTTTTAAATAATTTGAGTAATAATGATATTCCTTTTAATTTTTGTAATGTTAATTTCTTAATTAAAAAAATGATTGAAGGATTCTAGGTTTTTATAATTTTTTCTTTTAACAGGGCACAATTCAAGTCTTAACTGAGCAGCCCCAATTAAGCATTCTATTAATTGGTACGTATTTCCTTTTCTTGACTTTTTACATTTTATTCTTCATCTGCGCTTTGTAATAGAGGGCGTTGTTTTCTTTAGTTTTTAGCTTTTTCTTTTCATTCTGCTTGCTTGTGAAATCGAAGTTTGACCTATGAATATGTGAGTTTTATTTTTCTTATGATTTTGTTTTAGTTTCTTTTCTTAATTTGTTATTTGTAATGCATGTTTTTTTTCTTCCTGGACTTCTATAAAAAACCATCGGGGTACTGAGGGAGTTAATTTAAGCATTTGCTTCTCCCACAATTAGACCCCCTGAAGACGTCGGCTTCAGTGGTCATATTTTTATTTTTATTTCCTTCGTTTTCTTTATTGCTCAAAACAAGTTTACTTTTTCTGCTTTTTATAGCAAATGAATTTTTTATATTATCAAATATATCTTTTTACTTCAGCTTCTCGGGATTATTCATTTAATGCACTTTAATTTACATTTAAACTCTTTCTCATTTTATTGTGTCTGCTTCGTTCGTTCTTAACATGGAGGGTTATTATTCGAATGGTGATCATTAACACTGAAGAATGATAGGCACTTAATAACTTTCCTTAATTTGTATGCAGTTTTCATTTGGATTCTTTAATACTCCTATTTTCAGTTTCTTTTTTTTATTTATTCCTTTTACTCTGATCAATTTCCCTAAGAAGTGCAATCCACACCTGAAGTTTGCTTTCTTTTCATTTGTCGGCAATAGAGTGGGATTTTTTTATCTATATGCTACATATTTTTCAAATTTAATGTTCTAGTTTTTATAAAGCAAGGTAATATAAGATGGTTTTAATGGGGGTAATGGTTTTAACATGATGATTCTGCTTTTGAAAATTTGAATTTAAAAAGCTGCTGATTTTATAATCCAGTTATTTTATAAAAAGGCTGTCACTGTATTAGATGTTTAAAACAAAACAGTATGATACTAACGTGTCATGTAAATACTCCCAAACTGCTTGAGGTAACACTGTACACAATTCATCTGCATATGAAGCTTTATGAGGAGGCACACCTAAATCAAGAAAGATTAAAATATAAGGCAGAAAAAGAAAATTACTTTAAACTTGATATAACAATAAAATGAATAATGACATTATGAAGCAGAAGGTATGTTTTTTATTTAAAAAAAGGGAATTAGTTTAATTACAACACTAAGTATAGAAAAATTTATCAACCAATAGTTTTTTTGAAGATTAATAATAAATCACATAGTATCCAGGCAATCGATGCTAATTTTGTAAGCAAATTTAAAACTAGAAAGAGAGTTAAATTATTAGACTACCATAAATTTAAAATAGGAGATACAGTTTAGACCACTTTAAACATAGACCCTTGCATATGAAGTATATTTGATGATGTAACTTAAGCTATAAAAATCAAATTAGATTTCCAAACAGTAAAATTATGCTTTTCTCCTTTTACAGGTATCCAAAAATAAAATCTGTTCCATTTACTCTTCCAAGAAGATGAGAACAAAATTTTAAATCATACTTTTGAATAAAAAACAGTATACTTCTAATAAAAAAAATTTTAAAAAAATTTTGTAGTTTGCATTTTTTGTAAGAAGCAAAAAAACAGATAAGAAATATGTTTTATTATATATGATATTATGTTTTTGGTCAGTATGTTTTTATAACACATAAGAAGAATAAGAAAGATCTGTTATGTTTAATTAAACTCAATGCTGCTTAAATTTGCACTTCAGTATGGCCAAGGCCTATAAGTATGTGAAACAGTAAAATTTCTCACATGTGACACTTAAGATGGAGTAGCATATATAAATGTTTTGTTTTTGAACATGTTTTCTCAATTGGGGAAAATATGCATATTTCTAAAAAAGTACAGCTATCATGCTCTTAATTATAAAAACATCACTTCATAAAAAGAAAATTTATGGTTTTGAAAAGAATATATAAATAGTGGTAATATACAATAGTGGTTACAGATAGTGGTAAAATTCTTTTAAAAATAACTAAACAGAAACTTACCCCCATGGATACAAAGGAAATCAGTATTTGATATTGGTCCAGGTTCAGAAAAATTGTTAAATTTATTAACCCATTGTTTGGAAATGTGAAACTTGAGCAACCCAGTCTGACATAAAAATGAAAATATAAGAACATTTTTAAAATACAAAATAAAAGTTTATAAAACATATATAATTTTATATATAAAATAGATTCAGAAAATTTAAAGATACTAAAAATTTATAGAGACCAAAAATTTTGCTTTAACCTGATATAAAGTTAGTGAATTTACTTTTAAAAAACAATTAAACCAATAATTATACCAATTATTTTTAAAAAATAATTATACAGAAATCTATTATCTAGAATATACTTTTCTAGATAATTCGCTTCAGAACATACTTTTCTAGATAATAAATCCACAAGGTAAAAAATTAACAAAACATATGCTAGACAATAAAAAAAAAGGTATATTTTCCTTCAGTAACATTTTGTTGTTGTTTAAATAACATTAAACAACTAAAAATATTAATGTAAAGAATTAGGGTGTTGCAACACTGTATATAAAATGAAAGTGAATGCTAGTTGAGATATTCAGATAAAATTTCAAACAGAGCCTGGTGACAGTTGGTTCTTTAAAATGTAACCAATAGTCTGGATCATTAATATTCATACTTTATTTCCCTCATAAACTTTGGTTTTCTTTTATTTTTATGCTTTTGTTTTTTCAGCAATTTCTTAAGTCTGACTGTGACAATTAAAGAAAGGTTCATAAAATGTTACTAAATTTTTGAATTAAAAGATTATATTTTCTAAACATTACTAGTAAATTCCATTTACTTAATTTATTTAGCGCATTACCTTAATTAAATTTTGCTTAAATCCTCTTTGATTTCATATTTTCTCTATAACTAGGACTTTTCTATGTTTCAGTAACACTGCCAAAAACATTTTTTGGAATACAGAGAGATATGTTTATTTTGATTTTTTTTAAAAAAGTATAAGGAAAATAGATCCTTTTAGCTATTGATCATTTGGATACAGGATATTTAACTGTAATAAAAAAATATAAATAAATTTAATTTTACTTATATTCAAATATGAATTAAACACAGAACACCTGTTAACAACCAATAATGTTACATAGACTATGAAACTGTATAGAGTACTTTCATACTATTAAAAACATTTGCAGCATCATAAATATAACTAGTCAAGATATGCAACATTCTTATTTGAAAATTTATTTGACATTATTGCAGGTATTATATAAAATGTTTAATTTCTAATACAAATTGTTTTAGATAGAAAAGATTTTACTTTAGCAAAACAGTTATAACATAAAAACAATGAGTGAATCTATACTAGACAAAAAAGGACATTCTCACAAACAGCAATAAAATTTATTGCTTAATTCTTACTTGATAAAATTGTTTATAGTAAACCATTCTAAGAATAAAGAAATATATATGGATTATGTTTCTCGTCTTTTAGAAGAATGACCAGTTAAAAATCATACTGTAATTGAACTATTCCTTTACAATATTTTAAAACCTGAAGGCGTTAGAAAATTTAAAAGTTGCCACAAAAAAATTATAAACTAGAGTGGCAGGTGCACACTTAGGGGCAAACATCTATTTTCCTATTAAATTTTTTAGCTATAAAATTGGTTTGTTTGCCATTTGAGTGACATACACATAAACTCTAATAGTTCCAACAGATATCTAATAAAAATATAAAGAAACTATAATTATATAACAAACAAAACAGGTGTTATACATTGTTGAACAAAAAAGAATTAACCAAACTTATGAGGAATATAACAAAGGCCTTAGTGTATTCCTCATGAATTCCTATAAAGAGAGAGAGAAAAAAGAACACCTCCAATAAGTTTTAAGAGGGGATATAGAAGCTGATAGCACACTTGTCTAGATACATCTTATCTATTGCAAGTTGAAATATTTAGATATTTCAGACTTATATTTTTACTGTAATTGACATAGAGTATCACCGTTTCAGAGCCCGTCTTAAGCATCCGCCACCTCGCCAAATGCGATGAAATCATAAATTCAGCGAAACAAAGTGTGTTTTGGCAAAGAAAAAGAAAAATATAGATTCCTTTTAATTCTGAAAATTACATCAATATAAATTTTTCAGAACAAATCATGTATTTTTTATTCGATTACAGTGATTTCCCTCAAATATGTTTCTTAACTAATTAGAATTATATTAAGTCCAGCTAATGTAAACAACCAAATAGATTATGCCAGCATAAAAATCCTCTGTAAAATACAGATCAGCACGTTTGTTGCTGAATGATAAAATTTCGTTGACAAAGCTCTTTCCTGCAGTTTGCGTCAAAGCAGATTACGTGATACTAGATGCATATTACCATCCAACTATTTTTCCAGAAATTATGTGTTCTCATTATAATAACATAATGTTCATGAAAAATATCTTATTGTAGAATTTAAAAATTCAAACAATAAGAACATTTATTTTTAATTATATCTTTCTAAATTACCACTTTTCAATGATGGATATAGTATAACCACTAAGCACTCTGTTTGCAATGAGCATGTTAACATGCCCAAATTTTTTTTAAAAATTATGTGAGTAGTATAAAAACCAATAAAACAGAATCAAATGATTCAAAAAAGTTTTCTTCTATTGCAATCCTTTTTTTATGAATGATACATTCGCAACAGTAAAAGTAAATGAGAAAATATAAATTCTTTTATTAAAAAGTAAAGGACTTAAAGAATGAAATGATTAATTTAAAATGGAATATATTTGTTTAAAAGATAGTCGGAATCCAAAAAAAAAAAGAAAAAAATAAATGCTGTGTTAGGTAAAAATTAACCCTAATTTATTCTAATTTTTTTTCTTCTAAAGGACGATAAAATATCAACATTTTTATCCTATTTCAATTTTTGTTAAGATTTGCCTTTGGCTAAGACTTCTGAAATTTGGTTAACACTTTTGGTATTTTATTGGCTAGTGATTTCAGTCCTTTATGTGGGCCATGCCTTTGTATCAGAATCGTTCTATTTTGAAAGGATCATTTATTCTATTTTTTCTTACTTTTCTTTATTAAATCAGAAGCTCTTTGACATTTTTTTTTAACGATAGAAGATTTTAGTGAGTTTAAATAATTGTATTAAGTGACTTATTTGTCAATATATCGGCATTTTGTGGCTAAAATTATTTTACTATTACTATGCCCCACAAAAATATTTTACTTTAAAAAGAAATTTTAAAAAAAAGCTATCATCAACACAAATTTTTAAAAAAAATCATACAAAACTCAGTAGTCCACACTTTATGGTCTTCAAGATGGTTCAAAAATGCAGCAGAAGATAATAAGAATTTATCATATATAAATTCCAGACAATAATTTTAGGAATTCTCTTCCTTTTCAATTTTAACAATTGTGGTAGTCATGCTTTTTTCATAATATAGCTTTTTTTCTCTTAAAGTCTAACTTGAAAGTAGACTGTTTTCCGTGTTTAATTTGAATATAAATGAACATAATTTAAGCAATATTTTAAAAAAAGTTCAATTGGCAAAAAATTCTCTTCTCAGAAAAAACCAAAAATCTTAGTTTTATGTGAAAATTTGCCACAAAAGCATAACAAAAATGGGTTCAAATAAGGAGTTTGTCCATTGCTGACCACCATGCGTTGATGGCATTGACTTTCCTTGAAATAAAGAGCTAAAACCTGACAAGGAAAACCTATTGTTACAGAATGTGAGGATGGTAATGGAGGTCTTATCTATGAAACATTCGCTACTAGATTCTAATCTGGAGATCTAGAAGCCAATTGATCAATGAAATATTTACCATTCTTTAAAATCCTCTAAGAACCAATCTATATGATCACACTGTTTTCCATTAAAATGAAATAACCAAATGAATCCCTAAAAAAGTGAGGATGAGGCTTCAAGAGCACACTTCTATACTCATACTACTAACAGTGCCTCTTTTGAAGGTATGGAGGAAACATATTTCTCATTAGAATCAATTTTTGTAATGCTTCAAAGACAATTTTTAACTAACACTGTGACGTACTTTTTCTTTTTGAAGAGACTTTCATGCCAGTGTGCTTTTGTCATAAATCATGCTCGTATTTTATGCTTAAATTTTTGTAATATTAACAGAACATGTGCATTAAACAAACAGTTTAGTGCACATTTTCTACAAATTTCCTTTTTCCATGTACATTCATTACTAAATTAAATAAAAAAAATTTAAAAAAAAAGATTAAAAAAAGTTGCACTTTAATTTTTAAAATGTAGTTTTTGCAATATCCAGAAAAAAGTGCTGAGTTTGTTCAATTATTAATTAATTTGTAATTGGTAAATATTTCAGTAATTAAAGCAATAAGAATTTACTCATTAATATATATTTAAATAATTTTTTAAGATTTTGAGTTCAAAAATTATCAGCTGATTTTATGACATTAATGTATTAAAGGAAAATTTGTAAGCAAATATTTCTATTTTTGATATTAAAAAAACAATTTTATACTCACTTCTATCCGACTACGTTCCATAAGCTCAACAGCACATTGCCGTTTCTTTATCATATCTTCCGCAGTTTTCCTAAAGTGAAATAATATGCTATATTATACAAACCCATGTTCTACTAATCTGTAATATGATACATGATTAAGCAGTTAACAATGAAATTAAACCAGATAATAATAAATATCTAAATGTGGGCAATGTTGCTCGCCTCCGTGACTTTGGTTCACAGGTGCCCACTGGGTAACGCGAAATGAGCAACAATTCTGGCATAGTATGGGCAAGAACTCAAATTCAGTGCCTGCCATTGGAAAAAAAATATATATTTTATCATTACCTTCAAATGCTAAATTTTAAAACCTAAATAACAATAGTAAAATAACTCTTTTGTCAAAAATTACAATAGAGTTTGTTAGTAAATTAGAGTAACGAACTTACTATGATCAACACTACCATAATAGGATGACACCATTGTGGTATTGCTATAATACAGAAAAATTTAAAATATCACGACACGTTAACAAATTATGGCTGATAAACTTTAAACATTTTTACCTGAATATGAAAACCTTTTAAGCAGTGGTGGCTGGTGACATTTCTAACTAGGTGGTCCCAACATAAAATTGTGTCAAATTTAAGAAACATATTTAATTATTTCAAATGACTTAGCACAGGGTGGACTTTGACTTATTTTTAATTATGATGATATTGAATGGGCATTTGTAGATGACTAAAACAAAAATTTTGTCTAAGGTCTTTTCAAAGGAATTTTCATCTCTTTGGCTGATTGCCAACTATAATTTAAAACAGAATTTTTAAATGCTTTACCCCACATAATAATTTTCTCTCATAGCAAATGATTTTCAGTTTGTGAATATACTATAAGTAATATCACCAAAAAGGGAAATATTCTTACTAGATATGTCACTTCATTTACACCTTGACACTAGTTAGTCTTATTCTCGGCTCTCAGATAACTGAATTTCGCATATAATCGGTATCAAAAATCAATTTAATTTTCAATTTTTGATCAGAGTCAATGTGCATGCCTTCACTTAGATGTGCTCAAAAGGAAAAAGGATTGCTGATTTGAAGAATTTTTTTCCATTTCTCAAATATTTTTTTCTTTTCTTACTTAGATGTGCCCAAAATGAAAAAACACTTCCTAGTTTGAAGGATTTTTTCTCGTTTCTTAAGTTCATTTATTTTTTTATTTCAGTCTTTTTTTCTTTTTTTTTTTGCATTGTGATTAGAATGTGGCTTTAAATGTTAAAGTTTATTTATCATGCACTTATAATATTTCTTAATTATTTATAATATTTCCTTCTTTTTTTTTTTTTGGAGAAGGTCACTAGACTTATGAAGAATGATGTCACTAAACNTTTTTTTTTTTGCATTGTGATTAGAATGTGGCTTTAAATGTTAAAGTTTATTTATCAGGCACTTATAATATTTCTTAATTATTTATAATATTTCCTTCTTTTTTTTTTTGGAGAAGGTCACTGGACTTATGAAGAATGATGTCACTAAACCTCTGAATTACATAATATCCTTTATGAAGCACTTTTTGTGAGACAAAACTAATGAATTGGAAATACATTTTGAAAGTAGGAAAGAAAAGTCATAATCAATCATTCTTTTTTTAAACTTAACACTATAGATTAGTTGTTAAGCAATAGTAAAATCTAATATGTATGTTACCTGTAAAAAAGGACATATGCTTCAGAATGTCTAATCATTTCAGCATCCACTGCTGTGACATACTGGTCATCGAATTCATACCATTGTTCATTAAGGTAATTGAGACAATATGCTGTATAATGACCAGCTACAAAAGAGATATTTTAATTTCATTTTCGAATGTAAGCAAAGCAAAAGTGAAATTTTATAATTCTGTAAATCCAAATTGCAGCTAAGCTTTATTTACCAAAAGTTTCTGTACATGATTTTAAGATCTGTTAAAATTGTCTATAAACATAACTAAACTAAGGATTTTTAAGATCTAATAAAATTTAACTGGCGTCTAAGTATATAATTACTTATAAGTACTTCAAGTTTTATTTAGTTTGGCTCGTAATAGATTCCTTAAAAGATTTGTCACAAATTCTACGAAGTTAAATTATTCAATACACTCAGCAAAATGAGTCTTAAAATTGAAAACAATATACACAATTCCAAGGTTGTATTCGAGGGAGGGCAAGACAATTATCACAGGGCAGATAATGCTAAGGACCAGTTGAAATTCCTTATAAAAAGTAAAGTGTTTTATAGATAATTTTTTTTAAAATATTCGCTGAAAATTCCTTCTTATATATATATAAATATATATA